GAGGCAGCTCCCTGGGGCCCAGGCCTGTCCCAGCCACAACAGGGCTGCGGGGGAGGGTGAGAAATGGCCCCAGCTGCTCCTCATGCTCTGATTCTCTCTCCCCAGCAACTGTGACTCTGGATCCAGACACCGCTCATCCCCAGCTCACCCTGTCTGAGGATGGGAAACATGTGAGACAGGCAGACACACGACAGCGACTGCCCAGCACCCCGGAGAGATTTGACCCTGTGTTCTGCATGCTGGGTCGTGAGGGGTTCACCTCGGGGAGACATTGCTGGGAGGTGGAGGTGGGGGATGGGCGACACTGGGCTGTGGGGGTGGCCAGAGAGTCTATAAATAGGGAGGACTGGAACAGCCAGAACCCCAGTGGGAGGATCTGGGCTGTGGAGCAGTGGGGGGATCAGTTCTGGGCTCTAACTCACCCTGCGACCCTCCTGCCCCTGAGCAAAGTCCCCAGCAGGATCCGGGTTTGTCTGGACTGTGACCAGAGGCAGGTGACATTTATCAATGCTGCCAACGAGGCCACGATCTTCACTTTCCCAGCAGGCTCTGTCTCTGAGCAGAGCATCCAACCCTGGTTCCGGGTGGGGCTGGGATCCCAGCTCAGCCTCTGTCCCTGAGACGGGATGGGGGGCAGGGAATATTCCACTGTGGGCCCTGGGATCAGATTCTGTAGCCTCACACAAATAAGACTTTATGAGCTCCTCCTGTGGACTGTCTGTCACGTCATCTCTGTGACCTTGGAGATTGCTTCATGTCTCAGCTCTAGGCAGCTCTGGCCTGTCCAGCCCCAGAGACCACTGAGTTTATTATTCTGGAATAAGAAGCCTGTTATTTTTAAACCATTTCTAAATAATGGGCTTGTTATGTGGATGCTCACCTCATTATTTCAAAATAATGTGAGTTGTTTCAAAATAATGATGTCGTGTAGACATACTCACTGTGATCCTGGGCTCAGGACTGGCCCAAGGAGAAAAAATGATGGGAAGAGACGGGGGCAGCTGGAGTGGGGTGGGGAGGTAGGGTAGGGTTGTTACTTTTACTTCTCATCTGAAGAAGTGGGTTGTGCCCACACAGCCTGTGGATGGGATGTTCCAAGCTCGGTGCCTGTGCACATGGTGACCCTGCAGGAGCTCATGATACTCCATCTTACATATTTGTGTTAGTGTCCAAGGTGCTGCAGGCCAACTCAATTACTTTCTCTTCTGTCTATGGAGTTTTACAATGTTTGAAAGTAATAACTCTCCAGCACTTATCTGTGGTTGGAAGGGCTGGGCTGTGATTTTTAGGCTGTAAAGTCAAAAAGTGGAGAATAGAGGCTATAAAATCCCCCTTCAGCTCAAGCTTAGCTGTGTGTGTCTCACCTTTTATGACTTACTGCTCGCACACATCAGCTGCTGCTGACCTTCACTGCTCTGCTGGCCCCCTGCCGGTGGCTGGATGCTCAGAAAGACACAGCCACAGCGGCACTCCCAGTGTCACTGACATTGTTCAGGGGGAGGGAGAGGGTTGTTCCCCCAAATTGTAGTTTCACTGCAAGTCTGCGAGTGGCTCTGGACATTCACCTCATTGTGAGTTAAGGACGTGCTCATTTAATGGGGAATACAACCACATATTCCCTGGATGGGATGTTCCAAACTCAGTGCCTGTGCACATTGTGACCCTGCAGGAGTGAACTCCTTGCCCATAGCAGAGGGACCGCAGCAGCCCCTCACACTGCACAGTGCCTGGAAAGAGCCTGGAGCTGATGTTAGCACCACATCTCCCCAGGGCTCTAAAGCCAGATGTGAGGGGAAGGTCACAAGCTGGGCACAAAATTCTCTGGTAAACTTAATCCCGAGCTTCTCACTTTTTGCTAAAAGATGTAGGAATTTTCCATTCAGATCACAGTGTGACCTCAAGTGTTTCCTGGAGCTGTCACCTCCCTGGGGACTGGCTGCTCAAGGCTGTGGGGATGAGTCATGGGCCTGTCACTGCTGGGCACTGGGTACCATACAGTCCAGGGCAGCAGGGACCAAGAGTCTGTCCCACCTGAGGGCTGTTTGGACACCTGTGTGGAATAGAGGGAGGAGGAGGGGGGAGTTGGTGTCTTAGGGAACGTCTACACAGTAACAGTATTCTGAAATAACTTAGTCCATGTCGACACAGCAGGTGATTATTTCAAAATAGTGTCAAAAATACTGCCAGGTTGGAGGACTTCTTACTCCGACTTGTGTAACCCTGATTGTATGAGGAGTAAGGGAAGTCAGAGGAAGAGGGCTCTATTGCAAAAGAAGTGCTGTGGCGATGCTCCGTATTTCAAAATAAGCTATTTCAAAATAAGATATGCAATTGAAGTAGCTCAATTTGCGTAGCTTATTTCCAGTTACGCTCTGCAGTACAGAGCATTTTTATAGATTTTTATAGAGCATTTTTATAGCAATTTATGCAGTATAGAGCATGTCCCTTTTGTTTTTACTGGACAGATGCCTACAGCACTGAACATGGAAACTTCCTGTCCCTCAGTGCCTGGAGGCCAAGGAGCACAGAGACCCAATTCCCATTTTATCACCAGCACTGGTCTCTCCAGGCCAGAGTTGAACAATATCAATGGGAGCTTCAGAGGCAAGGCTGGGCTGGCAGAGCCTGTGCTACAGATGCTCTCAGGCTGGGGGAAGCAGAGGGATTCTAGCTCCAGCCCCAATAACAACTTGCACCAACACCCAATTATAGAACGTCCCTCAATGAAACAGACCCCTGTGGCATTGATAAGTGAACATCATGGAGACCTGGGAGAAGGGTCAGAAATTGGAGGGAGCATGGGCTTTAATAGCACAGATAAAGGAGGGGCAAGGCAGAACGGGGGGGCAAAATCAAATCAGTATCTTAGATGCCTATATACAAATGCAAGAAGTCTGGGGAATAAGCAGAAAGAACTTGAAGTGCTAATAAACACAACTATGACATAGTTGGTATCACAGAGACTTGTTGGGACAATACTCACAATTGGAATATTGGTATATAAAGTTGCAGCTTGCTCAGAAAGGATAGGCAGGGAAAAAGGGAGGAGGTGTTGCTTTATATATTAAAAATGTTTATACTTGGGCTGAGGTGGAGATGGATATTGGAGAACCGAAGACAACAATCAAGCCATTTGTCTCCTGCCTCTGACAAACAGAGGCCAGGGACACCATTTTATCCCTTGGCTAATAGCCTTTTATGGACCTAACCCTCCATGAAATTATCTAGCTTCTCTTTAAACTCTATTATAATCCTAGGGTACGTCTAGACTACCGCGTTTTGTCGACAGAAGTTTTGTCGACAGTATCTGTCGACAAAACTTCTGTCGACAAAGAGCGTCCAGACA